GGGGGGAGCTGGGAGGGAGGGGGGAAAATGAGGAGCTGATACCAAGGTCTCGAGTAGAAAGCAAATGTTTTGAGAATGATGATGGCAACAAATGTGCTTGACACAATGGATGTACGTATGGATTGTGTGTGGTGAGTTGTATGAGCCCCCAATAAAATGATACAAAAATACATCATACAACCCACAGCCAGTCCACCCCTAGATATATATACCAAATGGATTTAAATGCAGCAGCCCAATCAGACATGCGTAAACCAATGTTCAGTGCCGCACCATCTGTAGTAGCCCAAAATGGAAACAATGTAAATGTCCATCAACAAATGGATGGAATTTTTTTTTAATGTAGCACATACTCACACATACAACGGAGAACTACTCAGCCAGAAAGTGAAGTAATGACACATATGCTGAATGAAAAGTCAATTTACAAAAGAATCAATTTTACATAACCTCACTATAAAATACTTAAGAATACAGAAATGTGCAGACAGCAAAATTTGGTCATCAGGAGTAGAAAGGAGGCAGAAAGGGGAAGTCGCTGTTCACTGAGCCCTCAATTTCTATTTATAGTGATGGGAAATTTGGCCTCGTTCATTAGAAATGGTTAGACCACTCATTAATGCAACTGATGTCAATAAGCTATACATCTATAACATCTATGGCAAAAGTATGACATATACTTCTACAGGAACTAAAGAGCAGCCTTAGGTGCTACTTATATACAAACATCTCAGGATTTTATTTTCTTAATTTGAAGTTGTAGGGTCATGGGACAGCCCAGTCAAATGGCCTGATAAGGTGTTCCACACTGTGCTCTATCTTCTAGTTCATAGCAGGAATAAACCAGCAGGTTAAAATCTTGCAAAGAGTAAGACAAGTAGGACAACTGATTTCTACTCATCTGGAACAACAGAGAAAAAAATGTATTAGGGACCAAAGAAGGAAATGGAATATGTGGTTAAGTGCCTTCATGAACAACTGCCTCCTGTGCCTTGACACCATTAGAACTAAATGGTGGCTGGTTACTATTACTGAATGCTAGGATCAAAGATTCAACAGAAAAATCCTGATTAAAAGAAGGGAAATGCTCAATAAAATGATTTTTTAAAAAGAAAATAATGATGGCAACAGATGTATAAATATGCTTGATACAATTAATGTATCGATTGTTATAAGAGCTTTAAGAGCCAATAAAATGATCTTCAAATGAAAAAAAGGGAAATGTAAAACCGAATTTCAAATTTTCAAGTAATCCAGACATTCTTGAGCAATAAATGGGCTGGGTAAATTCCTCAAACTTTTACCATGAAATAATCTTTAGAACTTACACCAAAAGTACATGCTGAAGTCCTCTTTAAATCAAACAATAACTAGTAAAGAATGTTTGCCTTGAGCAAAGGGAGTATCTATATGGATCAAATTAAACTCATTGTTCTGAAGTTTACTGTTTAACAGTGAAAGAATCATTTTTTTAAAAGAAATAAAGAATGGTTGTACAACTTGAGAAATGTAATCAATGTGTATATTATTCTAACACTAGAATTTGAAATTCAAGTAATAAAACAGCTCAAAATCTAGCTTTTGAAACCCACTCATGCACAGAAGTACACAGGTTTATCATCTTTATTTTCCAAAAGTGTAGCAACCACTCTCCTCTTTTTGGAGGGAGGCCACAGTAACGTTTGTTGTTCAACTGTTACTTTATATTTTAATGTGGAATAAATTATCAACAATAAGGTCAAGAAGAAAAACTGCACTTGACTTCAACCTCCAACTACAATGAAAGTCCACAAAACAACACAAATAACTTCAAGGAAGAAAAGACACCCCTATGGCTATTCTATGTGTTTGTTGTAGGAAAATTAGTCAGATGGGAAGAAAAAGAGAAAAACAGGAATTAAAACAGTATTTACATTTTTATAACATAATGCTTCAGTAAAATTATCTTTCAGCTACTAAAAGAATAAAATCTTATAGGGCTAACAACCAATTATTTGTTCCATTTATGACAGCTTAACACTGGAAACAAAGAAATAAGAAATCTCAAAAAAAATAACTATCAGGAAAATCAAATTTTACAACTTAACTACTACTCTCTTTCAATCTCAAAGGACATCAGGTCAGTATTTCTTACCCTATATAGTACTAAGTTTTCAAATTCTCATACAAATGTTACATTCAGAAAGTGGAACACAGAAATCAAATGAAATGTATTTTTCAAGTTTCCTTTGTTCCTTATAGCTTAGCAATCAATGTCCTTTAAAGATCAAGACTTTTCTTAGTTAAAAAAGTATCATCTTTGAAGATCCCATTTTTTAAGTATGCACTAAAGAAATGTCATGGGAAGCTTTCTTTTAATTTATGTTAATGCTGAGACGTCATGCTTAGTCCTATAACATCAACAAGGTACAGTGGTACATGGTACATTTAACTTAAATTTGGACTATAACTTTTTTTCTACAAACCTACAAAGGTTGAAAACATTCTCAATGACTATATTCAAGCTTTATTATCCATGCTTAATAAATAACTGCTAACACTAAAATAACGAATAAACCAAAATTGGAAGGAAAAAAACAAAAAACCCCAAACCCACTGCCATGAAGGTGATTACAATTTACATGGATTGTTTACAGGACCTCTGCTTTCTGTGGTAGCAGACAGCCTCTTCCGCTTATGGAGATTCTGGTAGGTTTGAACCACTAATCTGATGATTAACAGCCCAGCACCTAGCAGCACATAGTGACACCACAGCTCCTTCAACTATTAAAAACCAAACCACTCATTGCCATCAAGTCAACGCTGACTCATAGCGACCCCCTATGGGTTTCTGAGTTTGTGACTGGTTATGGAATTAGAAAGCCCAGTCTTTCTCCTACAGGGCTCCTGGTGGTTTTGAACTGCCAACCATGCTGATCATAGCTCAAGGTGTAAGCACTCACCTCCAGGACTCAACTAGTACATAGTAATAAGATATTACATAAGACTTAATATCTGGTGTCTGAATAACTAGCAAATAAAATACACCTCAGGTGTTGCTAATTAACTGTGTCTATGTTATTTTCACAGCAAAATTAAGCTTAGTATTTAAGCTACTTTGGCAATTAAGTCTTTTTTACTCATTCATAGATGTTGTAATTTTCCCTGAGGCCTATTTTATCAAGTTGATTTCCTGGCCATTACAGATATACTTTTTGTAAGCCAGTGCTTGAGATCACTTGACATTATGCAACCAAAACAGTCTCGTGATAGCATGGCACCTTTTTGTCACTTGACTTAGCAACTATATATAGGATCACTGGTTAGGTACATCACTGAACTTCTATTAGTAGAAGTAGAAAAGTCTTGGGTTCTCCACTAAGTCTTGGGCTATTTAAACACAGATAAAGATATTGCTGACAGAGGTAAAGTTTATTATTCAAGTGTTAAGGTTTCTTATATATTGAAGATCGGTATTATCATCTAAATATCAATTCAACCCTGGAAACAGTTACATACCCATTCAAACCATGGTGGTATTTTAACCACTTTAGTATCAAGTATTTCAATAGGAAAAGCAGGCTGCTAGAAAATATGTGGTCTAATAAATTATCTGTATGTACAACGGCACTGGTTTCTAGAACATGTACTAAGTGTGGCAACTACATAAGACAAGAGTAGTTAAAAGTGGGGGGGGGGGCCATTATTTTGGTCCACTTTACCTTGTCTTACCCAATTCACGTAGCCAATAAATGTTATATGAACTTACATAATTAAATGCACTCCTCAGAGGGTGTAAGTCAATACTGATTAATCAGACTTTCCATTTAAACTAGCTCTAACAAGTCCTGGGGAAAATGGTCAATTATTATTCACAAATGAGTGAGGGATGTCATTTAATAGGATCGTACCTATTACCAAGTCTCCTCTCCTCAATTAATGTCTGCATTAAGATTAATTCAAGACACTCTAACAAGAAGAAATATAAGGCTGCAACAATTCCTAAATGTTCTCAAGTCGAAACATCAGAACCTTGGAACATACTGTATTCATTTATAACAGTCCCACTTATTATTAGACAGTTAAGTATAACTTCCTCAAAATAACATGCCTAGCACACAGTAAATCCAATGTATAGTATGCAGGTTTCATTTAATTTACTGTTTGCCAAAAGTAATTAAAAGAAAAAAATCATTTGAAATTAAAACTAGTGCTATGTAAAAACACAGGTTTACTTTCAGAAGGAAACAAGGAGTGGAAAAAAGAAATGGCAAAACCAACCCCTCCTCGCTGACCATCTACATGTATGGAACGGATGTGATCTGCCAGATCTGGGCTGGAGTTGAAGCAAGCCTGGCATTGGTCCCAACAACAATTATAGGCAATATTTTTGCTTGAAGAATTAGTGCTTCCTTGTCCATTCATCATGGCTGGAGTTGAACGCCCACTGGAAATTGTGCTGTCTACGTCCATTATAGTACTGCTTATGCTACAAAAGAAGAAAAAAGTCTGTTATTCCTAGAAATTCATACATGAGTATGATCTTATAAATATTTAATTAAGATTACCACTTGATTTAAGCGATTGAAGCCTTAAACCAAAGACATCCCCTGAAGAGTTTTAAAAACCAAACAGTAGTTCAAACTAACCAGTTTTTAAAAATGTCTTGAGCATTATGTTCTTTTCAGCTCTTTCTATATGGGATTCAAATTAACAGCAGCAATTAGGAAGACCACGTTAAGAGAACCTTAGAAGGCAAACAAAAGGATACAAACACAAACACACACAAAGCTTGCCATATCTCATCCCTTCTAAGATGCATGATAAATAAAATAAAGTCCAAGCATAAGTAATTCAGAATCAAGAGATTATCTTTGGAGTTCTGCAAGTCAATTGATCTGAAAATTTTCCCTTCTAAATAACAAAGAAAAACTGAGTGCAGTGTTAAGTCTGATTTTATCAAAAGGCTCTTCTTTGCTCTTTTAAAAAATTCTCCATCCTAAACAAGTGGCCATCTAGCTCAGAAGCAACAAAGCCCACATGGAACAACATATCAACCTGTGTGACCACGGGGTGTCGAACGGATCACTGAAAACAAATGGGCGCA